GGCGGGCACCTGCCTGCGGAGCGTGGGTTTTCTGCTTGAGAAGGACGTTTCCCACTTCAGCAACTTGAACTCCAAAGCTCCCCACTGCAAACCTTCCCACGTGCCTCCTACAGCACCCGCAGCGACACCCGATAGGACGCGGCACGCTCCCTCCGCTCCCACGGCATCCAGCTAAACCACCTCGCTCACGATCCCACCTTGCTGACATCCCCAAAATCAGCTTCCCGTGGTCCCCTGACCCTCAGCCTCGAGCACCCGCCCCCAGGGATGCTGGTAACTGCAGACACTCACGCTAAGCACGCCACCCCCTTTCCTCCAGACACACGCACACTCTGTCACCGGCTCATCGCCCCGAACGGGGCGGAAAAAAAGCGAGGCAGACACTTATGAGCGGGGATATTTCCCCGGATCCTGGCGTGGCGCGCGCTATTAGTTCTGATTCGGCGGCTCCCTCTCCAAAAGCGTATTGTCCCCTAATGGGAAATCTACAAGGCGAGTTTGACTTCTTTATTAAAAACCAACAACCAAAGGATGAAAAAAAAAATTACCTCCCTCCACACTCGCTCCCATTCCGCCTTTTCACAGCTCGTGTTCCCCAAATGCTGTTGTGAAATGTTTCCTCCTCATTTTCTTCCTATTTTCTGGTGGGTTTTTTTTGCTTTTGTTATCCTTTTCTTTTTCCAGTTGAGAGAAAATCCCTCTGGTTGAGAGTGGGAAAAGCGACAGCCGCTCAAACCCCACCAGTGTACAGACTCAATCAGGAGGAGCTGACCCACTGAAGTGCTGTCTTTAGAAAGAAACGTTGACGCTGTCTAAAGCACAGCGTGGGAAGGATGTATTTAACCGCCACTAACCCTCCCCGCACTGCCTTATTCCCCCTCTCCCGAGCTCAGTGAGGGAGCCGGAGGAGAGGCATGCTGATGGGACTTCATTCACAGCCTGTGTGGACTTCATCTTCTTCCCAGACTGTCGCTGCCGCCAGCCTGGCTTAGATCCCATCACCGTGAGACTGACGGGTTATCAAGCAAACTGTCGCCGTTGCTGATACCTCCCTCCAGACATCCTCGAGCCACAATGTGCCTCAAAGTGACAATCCAATCTAATCTTCCCGGGGAAGAGGCTTTACCTCTGCCAGCAGCGACCCCTCCTCAAGGGGGTTGCACCTATGCCGGCGTGTGAGACGCACGGCAGAGCCTGCAGCCCGGCCAGGACAGCTGGCATCGGGGAGATAAACAAGCAACCGCTCATAATTGATTCAGGGACCGATAATTTCCGACGCTCCAAGTGCTAACACGCAACCAAAGCTCTCTCCTCTGCATCCCAGCTGTGGTGAGTGCCTCTGGCCACCGGCGTGGAGAGCATCCCAACCAGGAGTTTCCCACAAGCTGAGGGAAGGGCTCACCGGGTGCTCAGTGAACCTCCCCAGTCAAAAGCAAAGGCAGAGGGCAGACCTCCACCCTGTCCCCAGCTCTGGTCCTCGCCCCGTGAGTACCTGGGACTATGCCATGTTACTTCCAGCAACTTCCCTGGGCGTTGTGCAGAGGAGAGGGAGGAGATGCATGGGGTCAGGACAGCTTGTCTGTGGTGACAGCCCCTCAAGAGACACTCTCACTCACCTTCTGTCACTCAGACCTTACCAAATGTCAGGGACAGCATCTCTTTAACCCGTATGTATGACACATACATACCTGAGACATGTATGATATATATATGAGACATATATCGTTGCAATCCACATGGATGCATCCATGAGGAGGGATAGGGACAGATTGCTCTGGGGAGACCTTATAGCACCTTCCAGTGCCTGAAGGGGCTACAAGGAAGCTGGGGGGGACTTTTTACAAGGGCCTGTAGTGACAGGGCAAGGGGTAACGGGTTTAAACTGAAAGCGGGGAGGTTTAGATTAGATATCAGGAAGAAGTTCTTCCTGGAGAGGGTGGGGAGGCACTGGGACAGGTTGCCCCAAGAAGATGTAGATGCCCCATCCCTGGAAGGGTCCAAGGCCAGGCTGGATGAGGCTTGGGGCAACCTGGTCTAGGGGAAGGTGTCCCTGCCCATGGCAGGGGGGTTGGAACTGGATGGTCTTTAAGGTCCCTTCCAACCCAACCCATTCTATGATAGTCTTGCTGGGTTATTAATGGATTAATGGCACTGCTATGGAGCAATTGCAGGGAAACCAGGACAGGATGGCTGGGCACTGTACTTACAAACACCTCGATGGTGATGGGGACGGTGCTGTTGAGCGGCGGGTTGCCGGCATCCTTGGCCATCACAGTCAGGTAGATAACCCCATTGGCCACCTGCTCATAGTCGAGGGGGTGGTTCACGCTGATCACTGAAAGGATGGGAAGCAGGGTGGTCAGGGGGGCGTTCACGCACCGAGCAGGATGGTGGGCAGGCTCACGGGGTGGCCCATCCACGTCACCTCCCCAGGGACAACAGCGGCCGCTCGAGGTGGCAACACCCCAAAAACACGAGGAATGGGCGTTACTGAGCTCCTTGCACTGGCATAACCCAGAGTGAGCTGTACATCCATGGAAACACAGCTCCGCTCCTGCCACAAAGCAGGTCGGGGCAAGCAGAGGAGCTGCTGGAGCAGCCTCTTGAAGCTTGCTGACACGTCTGCTTGCCCGGGTGTAAGCCTGAGCTGCTGCTGCTGCTTGTCAGGGGCACCGTGGTCCTGGCGCCAGCGCTTACCTCCGTACCCTTCCGACACCGTGATGTCAAAGTAGTCGCGGAAGGCGGATGCCTGCACGATGCTGTATGTGATCTGGTTGTTCGGAGGGGAGTCCTCATCAGAGGCCTAGGGCGTAAGGAGAGGCAATAAATGACCAGGGGAGCTGTGCTGGTGGCGTGCAATGGGAGGGAGCTGAGGGCGTGAGGGGTGTGGGTTGCACCCAAGGAAAGCGGAAAAGCCCCTGCCTGCCCTCCACCGCAGAGGCTTATAGCTCCATCAACAACAGAGTGCCTTCCCCTCGCTGCCTCCTGACTTCACTGAGCAGAGCAAGGGGGTGCGTGGGCAGCGCCTGCATCCCGGGAGAAGCCCCAGGTCCTGGGAATGCTGTAGAGGCACAGCTCTTATAGGGGAGGAGGAGGAGGAAGGCAGCCCAGGACCGCAGCACTGCATCCAGCTGCACTTCGCAGTAAAGCACAAAGCATTTTTTAGGAGGGAACAGCGGCAGGGGTGGATGGAGACCTAACCCACATCCGTCTCCCCACCGCACATCCCGAGCGGAGGAGCCGCTCCGGTCCCTCACCCGGAGCCGGACGACCTGGGTGACAGAGGGCTCATTCTCCCGCAGGGCCCCCAGGTATGCCTCCTTCTGGAAGGTGGGGACGTTGTCGTTGACGTCGAGGACATTGATCCTGACGCGGCCTGTCGTCTCCTCCCCGCCGCCGTCCCGGGCGATGACGGTCAGGGTGTAGCGCTGCGTGGTCTCAAAGTCCAGCCGGCCTGTCAGAAGGATTATGCCCGTGTCCTTGTCCAGCGAGAAACTGAGGGGACAGGAAAGGAAAGGGGAAAGCCCTGGTGACAAGCTGGAGTTGGAGAGGTGGGGTGCAGCAGCCTGACACCTAGCGCTGTGGTGGGATCATGACTTTCTTCTGAGGGATATTTGGTCCCAGAGCATCTTCAAGAGCTCGGTGCATGAGGACTTATAAAGCCTCAGTGCGGCTCTACGGGCATTGAAAGTGGGCTCGGAGGTTCCCAGATCCCTTCTGCGGGGCACGTTCCTCCCCCAGCTGCCTACCACGGCTGGGGCTCATGCGATGCTCCAGGGCCAACAACTCGCTGGTGCCTGTCGGTCTCGATTCAGCAAAGCGATTAAACATGCGGAGCATCAGGCAGGAGTTAACTCACCCCTTCGCGAGACAGCGCAGTGGGGTTTTCCCAGGGTATCTCACAGGTAGGACATAATGAATACCCTTAATTGCCATGTGACTTCTCAGTGTGGTTAGAAAAGGGTTTCAAAGAACCAAAGCTGGTGGTTCGGTCGCACTTACCGGTCGGGGTCATCGCTGAAAAAATAGCTGACTTTCCCATACGTGCCCACATCGTTGTCAGTTGCCTGAAAGAATAAAAGTTAACTAATAAACAAAGGTATTTGTGAGAAAGCTGCATTATTCCACCTCCTGGTGAATCCATTACATCCTCTTTACCTCCTTCTACCCAGGCGCCAGTGGGGTTATTCGGCGAGAGATGCGGGGCTGTCCGCGCTTGCCTGGGTCATCCTGCGCATCCCTGACTCGCAGCCTGCTCTAGGTAACAGCCCCTCGTTGGCATCTCTCAGCACCTCTCCTAAAAACTTTGGGATGGGAAATTTTATGTGCACATACTTTCC